TTAACCCTTTCTAGATATATATTATCGACACAAATTTCAATGTTAATGTTTTTCTTATAGTTTCCGAATAACATAAATTTTGTTTTATTTAAATTCAAGGACAATTTGTTTCTATCAAACCACTTGTTTAATATCTTCAACTCCTGTGTGATCACCTCCGGTCATGCAAGGTCATTCAAAGCAAGGTCATGAGCTCAGAGAAATTGCAAAAAACCCAAGAGCTACATCTCCAACTCTACAAGCCTCAGTTGAATGTTAAAGTTCAGAAAAAGACTGAACAATTGTGGGGTGCCTGAAAGGGTTGCGTGGTTAGAGAAAAAGTATCTGAAGAAACAAGATTAGAACAAAAGTTGACCAGTGGTTGGCAATAATGCATAATGCCACATTTGGTGAAAACCAAATACAGGAAACTATCACCTACACCTCATGCCAACTGTAAAGCAAGGTGGTGGAGGTGTGATTATTTGGGTTTTGCAGCCACAGGACCTGGGCACATTGTAGTCGTTGAGTCGACCATGAACTCATCTAGTGTACCCAAAATATTCTAAAGTCAAATGTGAGACTGTTTGTCTGACAGCTCAAACTTGGCCAAAAGTGTGTCATGCAGCAGAAGCAGAGCAACTCTAGCAGAATGGCTGCAAAAGAAAAGAATCGATGTGTTGCACTTGTCCAGTTAAATTCCAGACATCAACCTGATTGAAACGCTGTGCTTGAATAAATGCATGCAAACCTCAATGACCTAAAGTAATATTGTAAAGAAAAGTGCGCCAACATGTGTCCGCAACAATGTGAGAGACTGATACTTGAAACAGTTACTTCAAGTTATTCCTGCTAAATGTGGCGCTACAAGCTGTCAAATTATGGACTTTTCCCGCAGTACTTTTTGTTAAATAATGACACAGTGTAATATGGCATGCGTTGTTCAATCTGAATAATCGAAAATATTTAAATAATTGTAAGACCTGGTAAGGACCAACTTTTTTTATAATTGACTGAGGGTGTAAAGTTGGCTCTAGAATTCTTTGGGCACAAGTTTTGTTTGTGGATTATTTAAAAAAGAAAACATGGACAAATCCTTTTGCAGTCAACGGTTAGTCAAGTCTGACTCTGCCTGACTCCGAAACCCATAGATATCATTATACGATGTGTTTCTTTGCTAGACATGCTGTGGTGCTGCTTGTTTGTCGGTCTTTCTGCCTGTTACTTTAAAAAAATATCTTGCTTTTGCAGTGCACTATATGTACTGCAAAAGCATATGTGACTATATGTGCCTTTAGGTATCTCAGACAGATTAGTTTCTGGGGTTTTTTGTGTTTGTCTTTTCTGAGAAATGTGGTTGTTTCTGATATCTTAAGTGATTATTGGTCTTTCTTACTGTCCCCATTAAAAGCTTCGCAATGTGCACATTTTGTCATGAGAGGGCACTCTCCACCCACTGAGCTACACCTTGCTTTTATGTATTTTCGCCATGCATTCAGTGCATGTGCTGTT